TCAGGTCCTCCTGACTCAAAAGCTAGAGCTCTATCCACCACACCACCTAGCTGCCCCTAACCCTGGGACATTTTAGCACACACTTTTTGCTCTTTGTTTTCCTTTAAGTGTTTATGGATTTTTCTTTTTAGTGATACAATCTGTGAATACCATCTACAAAGTGCACAATATTTAACTGGTCTATATTTGCAAAAATCACCAGTAAGATATATGTGATGCCTCCTGATTAAAAAAAAAAGTGGGATCAGGTTTGTGATTCATAAAAATTGGGGACGTGCTTTGTTAGTAATTTATGCAGCACTGTGAAGTATTTGAATTGAATCAATAATTGTGGTTCTTATCTGGACTCTCCACTTTCCACTTCTGCAGAGGAAAAGGCAACTATCCTCTTTGGCAGAGAAGCTAGAAATTTCGGTCCCCTCCATTGATGTAATTATCTGGTCGTTCATTCATCTTACAAATGGAATGAAAGCTTTCTGTTTCTCATTAAAGCCAAACTCCATCTTCATTGCGTGGGATTTCTTGTGATCATAGATGGACAGAAATTTTCCTCATTTTTTTCTTTTAGTCTCTCTCTCTCTCTCTCTCTCTCTCTCTCTCTCTCTCTCTCTCTCTCTCTCTCTCTCTCTCTTTCTCTCTCTCTCTATTTCATTGTTTCTCAAAACTCTGTATTAAATATTTTGATGATGTTGAAAGTTTTGTTTTACTCTTTGAACTACTCTGATGCCTTGTGTTACCTTAATATTTTATGTAGTTGCTGATGGAAGTAAACTAGAATTGTAGATATGCTTTTCACCTGAATTCCTTTCTGCATAGATATTTCTTTGTTGTTGCTTTTAATTGGGCAATATACCATTTAAGTTTTCTATTGCTTGGTTCAGCTACACATTGATGTAATTTTCCAGTGCCTTTCTGTAGATTTTCAATAGCTTTCTTGGATCCCTTCTGCCACGTTTATGTTTGCTGTCTGTCCTTAAGGGGTTTTCTTTCATAATTCCTCTTTGCTTCCTATGGTTCTTACTATAACAACAGCTAGCAGGTATATTGCTGTGTGAAGGTCTTGAAATGTATTTACACTTTTTAAAAATACTGTGGAGAATACATTCATTCATTGAGGACAGTTATAGCAGATACTAGCTTTGCTAAATTACTTTACTTCAGAATAATTGGTCTGCTAATTGGACTCATACCATCAAACTTGAAAGAACTTTTTAGAAGTCCATAAAAAGTATTCCCATCTCCTTTTCAGAATCATTTCAAATACTTCAGATACATTCAGATATTTCAATGTTTTTTGTCATCTATTTTACTATTAATTATAATTTTTGGAATTTGCATTAAGCAAATATTTTCAATGGTAGTAGCTCACCAATTTCATCTCTTGTTTGGTTTAACCTTGGCTTAGAGTTGAAGTCATTTCTTATGATTGTCCTTCTCTGCTCAGCAATACATTATTACCATATTCCATTACATAATCATCACTCCCACATAATCATTGCACCCTGTTTTTTCAGTCCAAAAAATTAGCTTATAACCTTTCATCATGTAATCATCGCATGGTATAATTGTTTGTCACACAACTTAAAAGGCAGACAGAGCAGCAATGTATTCACCAGTGGCATATGGATATGCAGTTATCTCTCACTCATTGTGAGCCATGAGCCTAGAATTCTCCACACACAAACGTTGTCAGTATGTTTCCAAAAGCCGACTTGTGTGGTTTGTTTAGAGTGCTGCAGTACTAACAGTATTATCACTCAACCCAAGGAAGAGCCATGGGCACAAGGGAACAAGCAGGCAGGTGAAGCTGCCATGAGTAAGCCACATAATATGGTAAAACTTGTATCTTCCTGAGCTAGCCAAACTGTACAGTTCATCTGCCAGTGATACAATTTGGTAATAAATGATTTAAAAGTAATATCAGCACAAATTGTTTAAGCTTCACATACCTTTTTGCAAAAATTGGCATAAAATCAGCAATGACTATGCAGTGAAATCCAGCATGTGATTTGAAGCTGAGAATACCATTGACCAAAAGCATTACCAAGACTTTCCCTGTAACTGATTAGATGTGTTTTCAATTTTTTTTATAAAGAATTGCTGGCACATAAAGGATTTTTGTCTTTTTTCATTTCACATGAATTCATGGTTTGCCTACTTTAATGGTCAGCACCTAACTTTTCTGTTGTTGTTTTTTTCTTTGTTACACCTGTAACACTAGGTATTGCTGTGGATCATGAGGATCTGTACTTCTTCATTTTCCCCTCTTTTGGTTAATAGGGAAGGAGTTCAGCTACCAGGACCTTCACTAATGCCCTCAGTGGCATGATGCTCAGAGAGTTTCAAGGAAAAGCTAAGTGAGTCCAGAGTTTGAGTTTTAGAGTTCTGCTTGGGAGAATTATAAAATCATTCATAAAACTAAACTGTGACTCAATAGTCCGTAGTAGGTTCTTTTAACCTCTCATGCTAGAATTATAAGGTTTTGTGTGGATAGTCTGTGAAGTACAAAACCCCTCAGGACCATTCCTCTATGAATAGTCTGATCCCAAGTAATGACATGCCTAGAACTAATAAGAATGAATTAATTTATAAAAAGAGAGAAGCAAGATTACAAAATAGCACCAACAATGGTAAAGAAATAGGACATAGTTGTCTTTTTTTAGCTTTGCCTACACATGCAGAAGGATGGAAGAGGGGAGGATAAAAAAGAAACTCCTCAGCTGATAGGTTTTACAGACAGAAACTTTCAGTACCAATCAGGTCCTTCCTCCAACTGGGCTGTTGCAGGTCTATGTGACTACTTTGGATGCTGAGGCTGGCCACCAGAGGGAGCCCAATTGTTTTTTCCCCACTCCCAATAAACGGTATCTGCACCGCTTCCCAATCACTGTAGCCTGTCACATTGTATTCCAGCACTCCTCTGTCTCAGTACCCCAAACTTCTTGCTATCTCAAGCTATCATACCCTCTCAGTACAAATCCTGTGAAGTCAGGATAGACATCCCCACCCCGCCCAAGGAAGGCATCTCATTGATCTGTGGAAGTTTGTGAGAGGTGTCATAATAGAGTTAACTCTCATTAGTGAGGTACAGGTATAGGAAGGGGTCTATTCAGAAATGACTAATGTAAAAAAGGAAAGGAATCAATTAAACTAAATTGAAATTAAAACAATGTCAAACTTTCAGTCTCCAGAAAAGGGATTGTAGGTTTAGAACCAGAAGGGACCTTCAAGGTCACAAAGTCCACACCTCAGATTTCATAGATGAGGAAAGTGAGGCACACAAATGAAGTAACTTGACCAAGTTTTCCATGCAGAGCCAAAATTTGAACTTACTTCTCCTGACTCTGAAAATAACGCCTTCTTTTCCCACCATTTCCTAATGAGTTTCCAGGTCTGTTGGCCTCTGGAGTTTGATGGGCTTATGGGGCATCAAGACTTTTGTCTAAGACTCTTGAAAACACTTGCCAACAGAGAATGTGAACATGCCCATTAGCACCTTTTTCAGAGGATAAAAGTCAACTCCTAGCTAAGTCTCATTGACTGTGCCTGCTCCAAGATAAATTGGTTGGTTTGAAACCACCCTCTGGAGACCTCTAGGCAAGAGATAGACTTTAGTCACTGAGGCTGTCTCCAAATGAATTTTTTAGCTTAGACTACTGGGAGGATGGATTCCTGTTGGAAAAGCCACACCCTTGTACTTGCCTGTAATAGAAGTATTCATCTAGGTTTCTTTTCCTTGTTTTCTTTTTGCCTTTCTCCTGATGGAAATCCTGAAAATCCAGTAGGTGAGGAAGGTGTAGTTGGAGGTAGAGTTTTAGAAAAAGTTTGATGGGGCTAAGGCGTCATTAATGGCTGCCTTGTGACAGAAGCCCATAGAAGGTACACATGTTCACAGAAGTGGCCTGTGAGTTCCTGACTATCTTTCATCTCTTTGTTCTATTTTGAGTGCTGGTCAGAGACCTGAGACCTGAAAGTGTGAGAGAAAACGTGTCCAGCACCGTTCATTGCTTAAATATTTACTTACCATATATACACATACACATAACCCTGTCCATATACACATGCACATATACAGCAAATAGAGAGTGAACGTATGAGAGCTACTAGTTTTTTCCTAAGAAAGAAGCTCACATTTAGGGTATAACCACTTAATTTAATGTTTCAAGATAGCCCCAAAACAGTGCCTCCTGCACTGTCCTATCCTTTTTCTGCTGCCTTGGCAGCAATAGCCAAAAGGAAGCACATAAGATGAAGAACGATTTTTTTTGTCTTTTGTTTCATGAATTTTTTTAGTCACTGCCCTACTGGTGGTAATCCTCTCCATGCTTACTTATATTGGCTTACCTTAAACACTGGCCGTGTGTTCCTGGAATCATAATCAATGTCATTCCAGCATGGTAGAAGGTAGGGTATGGACTACCTTGGCACAGTCTTTAAGATCCTAGAGTCACCCACGTGATATGATTAGTCTTTGAGGTAGAAATTATGAGAAAGGCACTAAATCTATGCCTAACACATATCTGTCTACTGTGTGTGGGTGTATGAGAGAGACAGACAGACAGAGAGACTAAATGAGAGAGACTGAGTGAGAGAAAATGAGGGGAAGAGAGAGAGAGGGAGAGAGAGAGAGAAAGTAGAACCAGACGGGAAATGCATGACTATATTTTGTGATGGGTGGTGCAGTGGATAGAGCAGTGCCTGGAGTTAGAGGACCTGAATTCAAATTCAGCCTCCGATGCTTACTAGCTATGTGACACTGGGCAAGTCATTTAACCCTGTTTGCCTCTATCTCCTCATCTGTAAAATGAGCTAGAGAAGAAAATGGCAAACCTCTCCAATATCTTTGCAAGAAAATCCCAGATGGGGTCACAAAGAGTTGGACATGAATGAAATGACTGAACAACACCAATACTTTCCCAAAAGTTTTAGAATAGTGAATAGCATTTAACTTTTTACTTTTTTTCTTAATCCACAATAAATGACTGAATATTGGGGCTGATTGAATATTCATTCTTATTTATTTGCACACTTCTTTTTTATTTTTCGTTCAAACTTAATAAATATCAGAACTGCAAATATTTAAGCACCTATAGCAGATATGGAATAAAATTGTACATAAACCCATAACATTTAATATGGTAGAAGCAGAGAATTAACAGATGACAAATGAATATAAAATGTGCCTTTGTGTCCCTCTCCAAGACTACCTGAGGTTTCACTACATTTGGCTCTATTTTCTTCTTTTATGTATAGTTGTATCAGATGTTGCAGTCTGGCTGATCCTATTTTGTGTCAAAGACTTTTAAAAGCAATATACTGTAACAAATAAGTACTGATTGACTGTCGAGGCAGATTTCCCAAACAAACTTGATGCACTCAGCTACATGTCACAGAGTCTCCATAGATTCTTCATTCCTAGCATCTCATCTCTGAGCTTCACAATTCTCACGGACAAAATCTAGGCGAAGTAAATATTACATATCATCTCTACTTTGATGAAGTCGCTTTGCATCTAGCTTCTTCACAGCAGTTAGAAGAAGGGACCTTACATATGTCTCTTTTTCTACTTTTAATCCTTCCAAGTAGTGATGGAGGGCATTATCCTCAGACCTCCTGTGAAATTCCTGAAAGCGGCCATAATTGTAGTGGATCTCTTGCTTTCTCACATCCTCAAGCTTCTCCATGTGCAACACTCTCTGAAAGTTTTCTTCTGCATTTGTGTAGTCACCAGTTTCTGCATACATTTTGGCCAAATCCATATAAGCCAATACAAACCGAGGCTTGTACTCGATTGCCTTTTTAAAGTGATGCAAGGCTGATGTAATTATTCTGTCAAGAAGTTCTCTCCTTTGAGGCTGGTTTTTTACAGTTCTCTTTATCTTAATCATTTGATCCTTATAACAAAGTCCCATCTGGTAATGCAAGAAAGCAGATGATGGTATTTCCTGCAAAGCGAGTTTGGAGAAATGAAGGGCTTTCTCTAGGGAGCGTTTTGTTCGGTAAAATTTGGCTGCATAGCGAAAGACATAGGGCTGTGATGATCCGGCTTTTAAAGCCTCTTCAATGTACCTTTCTCCCTCCTCTGGATTTTGTTCCTGAAGTCTCAATGCAAGAAGAGCCTTAATATAAGCATCTTCTGGATTGAGTCTGACTGCCCGTCTTAGGGGTTCCAGAGAAACAGTACGAAGATCCCCTCGGAAACATTCACCCAGACGATACACCGCAATTGCAAATCCAGTGTTAAATTCAGGGTTGTCTGGCTTTAATTGAAGGGCCTTTTGGAAACAGTCTCTGGCCTTTTCATAATACCTCCCCCCAAACTTGAGCAGGGCCCACCCTTCCTCACAGTCAATTTCTGGAAGCTCCACTCTATAGCGAGAGGAACTTGAAAGCGTCATGCAACTTTCTTCTACCTTGTCCAAGTAAGTCTGAGCTTCTAAGAGTCTGCCCATGTGATAATAGATCCAAGCATAGTTTCCCCAGACCACAAGGCTTTGTATTTCTGCTTGGTCAGCGTGGTCCTGTTGGATTAATTCTTCAGCCTTTCTCAAGCTTTCCAAGGCTCCCTCATTTTGTCTTCTTAGGTGCTTTACATAGGCCAATGTGCTATATATTCCCACACTGAATTTTGTGCCCAGGAATGTAATCTCCTGCAAAATTCTGTCCTCTAAATCAGGTAAATCAAGGTCTCCTCTTGGTAAATCCCATGTGAAGTGACATCGCAACTGGACCAGGGCATCCCTCGTGGGATTTTTCTCAGACACCTCACTGTGGATACAAAGAGTGTTCCATTAGTAGGAGAGAATAACCAACATTGTCACCCCAAACCATGTAACATCCATTATACTTTCAGTTCCCTTCCTGCCCTATACTCCTGAGCCATGACTGGATAATAGTGGTTACCTTCTCACTGCTATGTCTTCTTTTGGGGACAGGGGTTCTTAACTATTTTTGTGTCATAGTCTGCTTTATCAGTCTGGTGAAGCCTATGACCTCTTCTCACAATAATAATTTTATATGTGTAAGACAAGATATAGAAGAATTACAAAGGAAACCAGTTCCAATGATATGTAGTTATCAAACTATTTTTTTAAAAACAATTCATTAAACCTAAGTGAAGAACCTTTGTTCTAGAGGGATCAGTATTGCTAGAATATGTCCATATCTCCATATCACTCAGAGCCCTGTGTAGTAGAAAGAAGGAAGCAAGAGTTTCAGGAACCTCCCTTTCTTACCTGCAGGAGCTGATATCTCACCCTCTGTAAGTGAACTACTATGGGAGCTGTTTCAAAATTAAAATTACAGTTAAGCTTTATGAATTCCTTTCTTGTACCAGAGAGGAAAGGAGGAAATAAGCATTTAAATAACACCTACTATGTGACAAGTACTAGGCTAAGTGCTTTACAAATATCTCATTTGATCCCTACAACCCTGTTGAGGTAGATGCTGTTATTAACTCCATTTCACAATTTGAAAAACTGAGACAAACTGGGTTAAGTTATTTGCCCAGGGTCACATAGCTAGTAAGTGTCTGAGGCCGGATTTGAACTCAGGTCTTTCTTATTCCCTGCCCAGCATTTTACCTACTACCTAGCTGCTTCTAGAAAACCCATGTGGGTGAAGAAGGCATGAAGAACATCCTTTTCATCCATCACTATTGCCCTTTGAATGAGTGTCATGCTTTGATTGGTGGCAGCATGTCAAGAAAAATGATTATTTTCTTTTTATATTAATAACCAATTTAATATATGGGATTCAAAGATTCTCTTTTTTGATTATTAATAACCAATTATTACTAGCTAGTTATTAGTAGGGGTTTTTTCCCTCTTTTTATTTCTTTTTTCACAGTCCAGGCCTAATGAAGGACAGAGATGACAATGAGACATTCTCCTAAGTCTTGGGTAAAATCTGGGAGAACTTATTTCTGATTACAGGGTAAAAAGATGTCAGTGACTGGTGCCATCAGGAAAGAAAGTAAGTGGTGCCATGACTTGTAAGTGAATTGTATTTAAGTGAGGGAAGGCTGTGTAAAGTCACTAGCCTCACTCCCTCCCCTGGAGCCATCTGGGTCCAGTGGCAAGATACAGATCAGGAGGATTGGAGATGGCCCTGGATGCAATGGGAGACCTTGGCCTTTTTAAGCTCAGGTCTCTCCCAGACACAGTACATGCAAGACGTGGTTTGTCCCAGGATATAAAGATGCCCATGACAGCACCACAATGAATCCTTTACTTAGCAGGTATATGGGGGGTTGGGGAGTGGAATGGGATTCTTCAGGAAGGAAAATCTTTGCTTGCTTCTGCACAATCATAATCTCCCCATGTCAGGGCAGGTACCCTAAGAGGCTGAAATCTGTATCAGCTCATCCAGACTGAGATGAATGAAAAGCCTGAGAAACAGAGTTTCTGAGTAATTAATAATCAATTTATTAATTAGGCTAGCACATAATCAATAAATCGAAATCAGTGATTCTCTCAGAAAGCAAAGACCCTGCATGGAAGCTACTGAATGTTAAAATACCCTTAGAAAAGGGGGTGTCCCTGAGGTTGAAAATCAATTCTGATTGGTTAACATTTAAAGAGAGAATGAATATTATAATGAGAGGCCTGGGGTGGGGGTTGGGGGATAACTTGACTTTGATTATGTCAACACTCTTGGACAAAGAGACTCATCTTCACCTAGACCACGTAACCAAGGCCCCTTCCAGCTCTGATATTTTACAAACTCTTTTTATAATATGATGTATAAGTCCTTATAATGTATGTATACCATCTAAAATATGGGGTTATCCAGAGCAGGGAAAAATAATGAATAAATTAATGAATTGTATTTCCATTCCTGCTCCCCAAGCTACTTAAGTTACGGTTTCTCAATCAACCAATCAAAAAGTACTTTCTGAGCTTCTACTAAGGCATAATCAGTGTGTTATGGGATACAAGTGGCATATAAGATAATAGTCCTGGCCTACAAGGGATCTTTATTCTTGATTTCTGCCATTAGTAAATGAAAATGTCTTTACATTTCATATTCCAAAGCCAGGCTGAGCAAATATGCTGGTATTAGGCAGTCTTTTAGATCAATGGGACCTAAGCACTGGCCTAAAAGCTAATCCTCATTGCTAATCACCTACTTGGGCTAACTGATCATATTTATTAAATAATGCAGCAACCTGAACCTTTACCTTCTCTAGCACAGACACATTTACCTTCCTATTGAAATGTAGCTCTCCCAGAGATACAAAGGAAAACACATCATCCTGGAATAGTGATTAGTACCTGATTGAATTAAAATCAAGATGTGGGTTGACTAACCACTGGAAAATTAGCCTCCTTGGCTGGGTGGGCAGCCAACTTTAGTCAGTTTATCTGGTCTACAGTGTTGCCTGCTCAGGTAGGTCCCATAGGCATAACCCATCAGGCATATAAACACAAAATATTTTCATGTCCCATTAACTCTAGTTAAAGCCAAAGGCAGCCTAGTATAGTGCTAAGCCCATTTGAACTTGGAATCAGAAGGCATGGATTTGAATCCCAGTGTTGCTAGGTGATAGCTGTTTGGCTATGAATAAGTTATTTAACCAATGATATCAGGAGGGTAATGTCCTGACTTGCATGTGAATTGGATTTAAGTGAGGTAGAGCTCCACAAAAGTCATCAGCCTCACTCTCTCCTCCAGAGTCATCGAAGTCCAGTGGCAAGACAAAGCTAAATGAACTGGTTATGGCCCAAGACAAGTGAATGTCTTTGGCCTTTCTAAATTAAAGTCTTTTGGAGGTCTCAGTTTGTCTGAGGCAAAGCCCATTTAATGACTAAGGCTAGATAAAAATTAAGACAAAAGATGGCCTAATTTACCCACAAAAATATCAATCTGGGAGGGTGAGAGTCTCAAAGTTTCTGGCCAGAACAGGAAAACAATTGCTATTTACAGTTGTTCTAAGCCATCAAAAGCTGAACAACAAGCCACAGAGGCTTGGGCTGGGGGCTACTATTGGCCATTCAACAGAAGCCCAGAGTGATTTGGTTTTAAAGGTGTACTCAGGTAGCACCCTTTGAAACACTAGGGGCTTTTTAAAAGTCCTTTGGATGGACAACAGCAGCAAAAGCCTACATTTAACCTCAGTTACCTCATCTGTAGCACTTTTGCTAGCTAAAACATCGTATTGTAGTAAAGCCAAAAGAAAAGAAGTGTTCTAAATGTTTCATGAGTGAAACTATACAAAATGAGCTTAAAATTTTTTCAGACAAAACAAATGACCTAAAGAACAAATATTTTAAAAGTAAAGCAATGCATATGAATTTAGTCACTTGCTCTCGAAGCCTCATAGACACATCCTAAATAGAGCCTTAATTCTCTGTTTCTAGATGCTCTTTTACTAATAAACTAATAAAACTGTCAACCTGGAAGGTATTTTAGAAATCAGAGTCATTAGCTTAGTGCAGGGCCCAAGAAAGATAGTATCCTTAGAGAATACTTTTTGATGATGATGATTATAAGATACTTTAGCCTAATATAAAGTTTCAGCTTCAAAACTGATTTGTGGAGGGCAGAACCAAGATGGCTGAGTAAAAGCAGTGACTTGCTTGAGCTCTCCCCTAAACCCCTCCAAATACTTGTAAAAAAAATGGCTCTAAACAAATTCTAGAGCAGCAGAACCCACAAAAAGACAGAGTGAAACAAATTTCCAATCTAAGACAACCTAGATGGTTGATTAGAAAGGTCTATCATGCCAGGCTGGGAAAGGAACGCAGTGCACACAAAGACCAGGCCTCAGTGAACCTGGAGCAGGCCTCAGGAAACTGAATCATGGGCAGCTGTGGCAGTTTCCAGACTTCTCAACCCACAAATGCCAAAGACAACTTAGAAGGTCAGTAGGAAAGGTCTGTGACCACAATGAGAGAGAAGCTCAGTCTGGCCCAGTCTTGGCACAGCCCTAAGGTGGTGGCTGCTTCCAGAGCTTCTGGGCCATAGAATGAGGTGAAATCTAGTGGCTGATCAGAGGAGGATTGTGGGGATCTTTTTGCTAGTGCTGAGGCAGGATTCTCTTGCTTTGCCTGTGCTTGGCTCTGGGTCACATTTCTGGATGGTGGTCACAGGGTGAGGAGGAGCACTGGCATGGTGGAGCTTGTAGTGATAGCAGAGAGGGAATCCTCCTCACAGTTCCAAGGCAGAAAAGAATGCTTGTGGGCACTCATAGACCAGAGCACAGGCCAGGAAAGGAGTGAACACCTCACCCTTGATCATAGCACCTTAGAAGAACTGAAAATTTACAGGTCCCTAGAAGTATCTCTGAAAACAGCTGCACAAAACTCCCGAAGCTTGGGACAGTACATTCTCCACACTGGAAGCAGACCCCTACCTTAACAAAGAGTTTAAAACTCAAGTAATTGGCTGAGATCATAAGCAAACTGCAGGAAAAAAAAAAGTCAGACCATAGAATCTTTCTTTGGTGACAAATAAGATCAAAACATAGAACCAGAAGAAGACAACAAAGTCAAAGCTCCTACATCCAAAGCCTCCAAGAAAAATATGAATCAATCCCAGGCCGTGGAAGAGCTCAAAAAGGATTTTGAGAAGCAAGTAAGAGAAGGAGAGGAAAAACTGGGAAGAGAAATGAGAATGATGCAAGAAAATCATGAAAAACTAGTCAACAGCTTGCTAAAGGAGACCAAAAAAAATATTGAAGAAAATAACACCTTAAAAAATAGACTAACCCAAATGGCAAAAGAGGTCCAAAAAGCCAATGAGGAGAAGAAGGCCTTAAAAATCAAAATTGGCCAAATGGAAAAGTAAATCCAAAATACTTCCTTAAAAATTAGAATGGAGCAAATGGAAGCTAGTGACTTTATGAGAAATCAAGACATTGTAAAACAAAACCAAAAGAATGAAAAAATAGAAAACAATGTGAAATATTTCACTGGGAAAACAACTGACCTGGAAAATAGATCCAGGAGAGAGAATTTAAAAATTATTGGACTATCTGAAAGCCACAATAAAAAAAAAGAGCCTAGACATCATCTTTCAAGAAATTATCAAGGAAAATTGCCCTGATACTCTAGATCCAGAGAATAAAATAGAAATTGAAAGAATGCACCAATCACCTCCTGAAAGAGATCCCCAAAGGAAAACTCCTAGGAATATTGCAGCCAAATTCCAGAGTTCCCAGGTCAAGGAGAAAATATTGCAAGCAGCCAGAAAGAAACAATAAGTATTGTGGAAACACAATCAGATAACACAATATTTAGTAGCTTCTACATTAAGGGATCAGAGGGCTTGGAAAATGATATTCCAGAGGGCAAAGGAGATAGGATTACAACCAAGAATCACCTATCCAATGAAACTGAGTAAAATCCTCCCACCATGGACATTTGGTGAAATAGAGGACTTTCAAGCATTCTCGATGAAAAGACCAGAGCTTAATAGAAAATTTGACTTTCAAATACAAGACTCGAGAGAAGCATGAAGAGGAGGCTGGAGTGCACACCTTCCAGGAATTGCACAGGCAGACTCACCTTGGAATTATTGTCACACACACACACACTCAGAAGAAAAGTTTGTATCGGTGCCCTCTATTTCCCAAAATCTTCCTAGGCTCTCCCTCCCCAGTAGAACATAAGCAACTTGAGGGGAAGGACTATTGTCCCTCTTTTTGTCCCTAGTTCCTTAAGCCTTTTCCTTACTGCTTATTAAGAACTATCTCTGAAAATCTGAAGCGGTATCCCTGACTGCTCAGCTGCCCACATAAACCACAGGAGATCTCCAAGTGTTTGCCACTCCCTATTTTTGGAAGCCACACTTCTTTGTTCCTCTTTTCGGAAAGAAGAAGAAAGTTTGGAAAGGATAGACTCTCACCTGGAAGATGATATTTAGGAAGGAAGGAAGGAAGGAGGGAGGGGGAAGGAAGGGGGAGGGAAATAATGAAGGAAGGAAGGAAGGAGGGAGGGAAGGAAGGAAGGAAGGAACAAAGGGAGGAAGGAAGAAAAGAAGGAAGGAGGGAAGAAAGAATAACACAGAGACAGGATCAAAGAAAGAAACAGAGTGGAAAAGAAAATCAGGTACAGAGACACAGACAGTAAAAGATAAGGAGAGAAAGTTGAAGGACTAAATGCAAGAGTGAATGATAGGGGGGAAAAGATACTTCAATAGAGACAGAAACAGAGATCTAGAGGAAAAGAAAAACAGAGAGAAACAATCACCAGAGACAGATATTTAGAGACAAAAAGGAATATAGGGGGGCAGCTAGGTGGTGCAGTGGATAGAGCTTTGGTCTTGGAGTCAGGAGGACCTGAGCTCAAATCCAGTCTCAGACACTTGACACTTAATAGCTGGGCAAGTTATTTAACCCTAATTGCCTCACCAAAAAAGAAAAAAAAATAGAGAGAGAATAAATGTAGTATAGATTGCATCTTCTATTTTCCCCCTTCCTTCTTCTCTCCAGATCTTTCCTCTTAGCATCCAAGCATAAACAGGTTGCTACTATATTGTAAATAAAACAAAACTTTGCCTGACCCTATTGACCCTTAAAGTTTACCACCTGAAGCCAAAATGAATCTCCTCCCATCTGGCCACAACTCAATACTGGCAATATTGGGTCATTTATAGAACATGAAATGCACTTCAGAAAAGTACAGGGTCACTGATGGACATAAGGAAATTAGTTAGCTACACCTATAAATATGGTACAAATGAAAAGGACAAGTATGTTCTGTTGCCCACCAGGAAGAAGTCACTATAAAATATTGATTATGGAATCTTCAGGAGTGCTGATGCAGAGGAACTGCTTCCATCAGAAATTTAGGCTGCCTAAATATGAGCTCATATGTTGATATGAGCTCAACAAAGAATATTGATTAGAAATTTTGAACGTAATCAATGGCTTAAGGGGGAGAAGCAGAAAAAGACCCTTACCTCATGGCTCTGTGTATACTTGTCTGTGTTCCTGAAGAATTGTAGCCCAGCATGATTTATGCTCCAATTAAGGAGGTGGTATCTTTTGGCTTATCATGGAAAGTTGGTGAAGTAAACATGAGTGTGTATGCAAGATAAGGGCACCTGTTAATGGATAACATGTGTTGGCAGGGGGAGAGAAGGGAGTGAAAACACACCAGGAAAAAAAAGTAAACCAAATATAAAATAGAATTACATCTAAGCTAGAGTCCCATTTGGGGGAAAGGAGCATTTAGACAGTAAATAACAATAGCTGTGAAAGAGGTCTGGTTGAAAGGAAAATCTCTCTCATGGGTCAGATGATTTGGAAGACATTTAGGAAAAGTAGTTTTACCTAAAGGTAGGCTTTCTAGTGAAAGTCAATGTGACCTAAAGAATCAAGAATGAGAACTTGGGGGAACTGGGATGTAGTCGCAATTCAATTTCTGCCACACTGTGAAATCCTTACAAAGTCAGTGAGTTCTGAGTGCCTAGTGGTGACCTAGTCTACATTCTCCATTTAAAATGGAAAGAGAGTACTAGGTATTCCTCTTTTACAAAGTGACAGGAGGAAAGAGCACTGACTTGCAAGTCAGAAATGTAGGAGAGAAATGTAGGTTTGAATCCAGATTTTACCACTTCCATTTACTCTTTACTAGCATAACATACTAAAAAGAATAGTAGACTCGGAATCAGGAATCCTGGGTCAAAATCCTGACTCCAGCTCTGTCTAGTTAGGTGACTCTGGCAAAGTTACTTAATTTCCCTGAGTTATTATTTTCTTATCTATTAAAGGAGACTAATAATACTAGCAATGACTACTTCATAGGGCTGTTGTGAGGAGAAATGTATAAACCTTAAAGCCTTATTTATATAAATGTGGGCTGTATGACCCCCAACAAGTCATTTAATCTGTGTCTCAATTTCTTCATCTGGAAAACAGCTCTAAGACTTCTACTTCCTACCTCACAGAGCTCTTGGGAGGGTGTGTTGGAAAGTGCTTTTTGATCGTTAATTACAATATCGTTATGAGATGCTCTCGTTGTCACTGTTGTCATCACCATAATCCCAGAACCCTCAGTAGTATTGAGAATGGAAATGACCTTCACAACCAGCTCAGATCTTCATATCACAGCTTGGTTGCTGACAAGATATTTTTGCAATGAATATAACTTTCAAAAGCAAATATGTATTTGAAGTGAGATTCAGAAGACCAGGGTTTTAATCCCAGCTCTGCAACTAACTGGCCCCATAACCTTGGACAAGTCTTTTTAAAAAAATTTCTAGGTCCCATTTTTCCTCTTTTTGAAATGAGGGAACTGAAGGAAATAATCTCTAAGATCACTTCCAGTTCTAATGTACCTTGGCATTGTGCCAAAGTATGCCCGAGGATGCCCTGGGCAACCCCAGGTTATGTCCACAGCTCTATGGACCCATTTCCCTCTCTATTGAAAAAATACAGTGGATGAGGGTTCCCTGACAACACTCAACAGAATTTTCTCTAGAACTTATCAGGACTGCACTGGGTGCTGGGTGGAGGACAGGTTGGTGTGCTTCATTTGTCAGAAATTAAATTTAGAAATTGCAGTTTTATACTTGGTACTGGCTAAGAAATAGAGTGGTGGATCAGTGGAATAGGTCAGGTATACAAGACGCAGTAGTCAGTGACTATAGTAATCCACTGTTTGACAAACACAAAGACTCCAGTTTCTGGGATAAGAACTCACTATTTGACAAAAATTGCTGGGAAAATTGGAAATAGTATGGCAGAAACTAGGCAGAGACCAACATCTTACACCGTATACCAAGATAAAGTCAAAATGGGTACGTAATTTAGATATAAAGGCTCATACTATAAGCAAACTGGGAAAGCAAGGAATAGTTTACCTGTCTGATTTATGGAGAATGGAAGAATTTATGACCAAACAAGAGATGGAGAACACTATTAATGCAAAAATGGATAATTTTGATTACATTAAATTGAAGTTTTTGCACAAACAAAGCCAATGCAACCAATATTAGGAGGGAAGCAGAAATCTGGGAATGAATTTTTACAATCAGTGTCTCTGATAAAGGCCTCATTTCTAAAATATATAGATAACTAAGTCAAATTTATAAGAATACAAGTCGTTCCTCAGTTGATAAGTGGTCAAAGGATATTAACAGGCAGTTTTCAGATGAAGAAATTAAAGCCATCTATAGTCACATGAAAAAATGCTCTAAATCACTATTGATTAGAGAAATGCAAATCAAAATAACTCTGAGGTACCACATCACACCTATCATATTGGCTAACATGACAAAAAAGGAAAATGATAAATGCTGGAAAAGATGTGGGAAAATTGGAATACTAATGCATTGTTGATGGAGTTGTGAACTGATCCAGCCATTCTGGAGAGCAATTTGGAACTATGCCCAAAGGGCTATAAAACTGTGCATACCCTTTGACCCAGCAATACCACTTCTAGGTCTGTATTGCAAAGAGATCGTACAAATGGGAAAAAGACCCACATGTACAAATATATTTATAGCAGCTCTTTTTGTGGTGGCAAAGAATTGGAAATTGAGGATCAATTGGGGAACAAGTTGTGGTATATGAATGTAATGGAATACTATTGTGTTATAAGAAATAATGAGCAGGCAGACTTCAGAAAAAATTGTAAAGACTTATATGAACTGATGCTGAGTGAAATGAGCAGAACCAGAAGAAAATTGTACACAGTAATGACCACAATATGTTATGACTAACTTTAATAGACTCATCTCTTCTTAGAAATGCAAAGATCCAAGACAACTCCAAAGGACTCATGATGCAAAATGCTGTCCACATCCAGAAAAAGAACTATAGAGTCTGAATGCAGATCAAAGCATATTATTTGCTCTCTCTCTTTTTTCTTTTTTTTTTTTGTTTGTTTGTTTCTTCTTTCTCATGGTTTCTCCCATTGGTTCTAATTCATCTTTACAACATGACTAATATGAAAATAGGTTCAATATGAATGTATATGGAGAGCCTACATCAAATTACATGCTGTCTTAGGGCAGATAGAGGGGAAAGATGGGGAGAAAATTTGCAACTCAAAATTTTATGGAAGTGACTGTTGAAAACTAAAAATAAATAAATTTTTAAGAATAAAAGAAATTTTAAAACTTTTTTTTAAAAATAAAAGAAATTACAGTTTTGAAACACCAACTATCCTTACTAACTTGATAGTATACACTGGACAAAGGAAATAATGCATTAGAGAGTACATACATACACACACACACTTTTTAATTACCCCTAACCCTCCAACTCCAACTCTAACCCTGAATGTAGACATTTGGTAAAGCTGTGTTATGCATCTCTTTTCTATGTCAGCTCTTTGCTACATAAGAGTAGGAATCATTGTCATCATCATCATCAGAAAGGCAGCATGGCATGGTATTCTATCATGGATAGAATCAGAAAGTCTTAGGTTAAAGACCTATCTTCGAACACATTGTCTATGAGACACTGGATAAGTCACTTAACCATCCATTGCCCCCAATAAGTAGAACTATAAGTTTTGGAACAAATGCTGACCTACCTTGGTAGAGGGGTTTCTTTATGTTGATTTCCTTATATCAATGAAATTACAGATACAGTCCAAAAACAGTAACAAGAACAATAATAATAACTGACCAGTATAGAATTTTAAGGTGTGCAAAGCCCTTTGGCCTGCACTATATCATTTGATAATGGTTTTAATATATTAGAGATTCATCAAGGTATGGTAGAAGATTTTGGGGTTTTTTATTTTTAATTTTATTTTTTCTCAATTATATGGAAACAAAGTTTTAACATTCATTTTTAAAAGATTATTTTATTTTATTTTTAATAATATTTTATTTTTCTCCAGTCACATGTAAAGATGATTTAACATTCATTTTTTAATATTTTTCTCCCCAATTACATGTGCAAACAATTTTCAACATTTGTTGTTTTTTTTAAGTTTTGAGTTTTAAATTCTATCTTTCCTTCCATTTTCTATCCCCTCCCTTCTTGAGATGGTAAGCAATCTGATATAGGTTATACATGTGCAATCATGTAGAACAGTTCCAAGTAAGTCATTTTGTGCAAGAAGGCTCAACCAGAAACAAAGAAATAAATAAAGTGAAAAATAGTATGCCTCAATCTGTATTCAGATAAAATCAGTACTTTCTTTGGAGGCAGATAACATTTTTCATCATGAGTCCTTTGACATTGTCTTAACTGCTGAGAATAGCTAAGTCTTCATTATACAACATTGCTTTTACTGTGTATAATGTTCTCCTGGTTCTGCTCACTATGTATCAGTTCATGTAAGTCTTTCCAGGTTTTTCTGAAATCATCCTTCTCATCATTTCTTATAGCACAATAATATCCCATTACAACCTTATATCACAACTTGTTCAACCATTCCCTAATTGATGGGCATCCCCTCAATCGCCAATTCTTAGCCACCACAAAAAGAGCTGCTATAGATATTTTTGTACAAATAGTTTCTCCTCCTCCTCCTCCTCCTCCTCCTCCTTCTTCTTCTTCTTCTTTCTTCTTCTTCTTCTTCTTCTTCTTCTTCTTCTTCTTCTTCTTCTTCTTCTTCTTCTTCTTCTTCTTCTTCTTCTTCTTCTTCTTCTCCTCTCCCCCTTGGATACAGACTAGCCCTTCAGGCATACTTCCAATTGCTTGCCTGAATGGTTGGTTCAGTTTACAACTCTAGCAACAGTGCATTAGTGTCCCAATTTTTCCACCTCCTCTCCAACATTTATCATTTTCCTTTTCTGTCATATTAGCTAATCTGATAGGTACGAAGTGATGCCTCAGAGTTATTTTAATTTGCATTTCTCTAATCAATAGGGATTTAGAGCATTTTTTCATATGACTATAAGGTAGCTTTGATTTCTTCTTCTGAACTGCCTGTTCATATCCTTTGACAATTTATCAATTGCGAAATGACTGCAAATGAATTTAAATTAAGATCTTCCTGATTCAATGCCTAGAGCTCTATCCACTCTATCACCTAGCTGCCTAATGGGAGGCCTATTACCTACTTAGCCAACTCATCATATGTTTGCATAACTATTATTAAAAAAGATTGTCCTT